TAATATAGAGAGATGAGAGCAGAGTTAGGAACATAATATCTGATTTTGGAGAGTATATAAACTGTTTTAGAGACTTTCTTAGTTATGTGTTGTATGTGGGTACTGAAGTTGAGTCTCTTGTCTAGGAATATGCCAAGAAACTTTCCATCATTTTTATTGCTAATGTTTACATTGTCAATCTGAAGCTGAATTGCATTTGTAGATTTGCTTCCAAATAGGATGTAGTAGGTCTTTTCTATGTTAAGTGTTAGTTTGTTGGTTGACATCCATAAGTGGACTTTTTTTAGTTCATTGTTAACATCATTTAGTGTATGTGGGTTGGGGTTGGAGTAGATGAGGGTAGTATCATCAGCAAACAAAATAGGTTTCAGAATGTTAGAGACATTAGGCAGATCATTAATGTATATAAGAAATAGAAGAGGTCCCAAGATGCTGCCCTGTGGCACTCCAACGGTTATTGGTAGAATGGGAGAGATTATGTTATTGATGGCTACACATTGGTGTCTATCACTAAGATAGGATTGGATATAGTCCAGTGCATGGCCTCGGATTCCATAATGATGGAGTTTACATAAGAGGTAATCGTGATTAACAGTATCAAAGGCCTTTCTCAGGTCAATGAAGAGTCCAATTGGAAACTCATTTTTGTCAAGGGCTGAGTAAATTATATCAAGGAGACTAATAATTGCATCGTTGGTACTCTTTTTGAGAGCGGAAGCCAAACTCACAGGGGCTAAGAATGTCGAATTTTACGAGATAGGAGTAGAGCTGTTTGTAGATAATTTTTTCAAATATTTTTGATAGTATGGGTAGGTTCAATATTGGTCTATAGTTGTTTATGTCTGACGGATTACCTCCTTTATGAACTGGCGTTACTCTTGCTTTTTTAAGGATATCAGGGAAGGTATGACACAAGGGATTTGTTGAACAGCAGAGCTATAGGTGGTGCAAGGGCATGGGAGGCACTCTTGTATACAATGGATGGGATTTCACTAATGTTCCCAGCTTTGGTTTTTAGTGAGTGTATGGTGGACACAACATCTGACGGGCTGACTGGTGAGAGAAGAGAGTTTGGATAGCTGCCTGAGAGATATGTGTTGATATGAGTCTGAGTCTGTGGGATTTTACTTGCAAGGTTAGCACCAATCGATGAAAAGAAGCTACAGTATTAATTTCATTCGCCATTTCTAAGTCAGATGACAGTGTAAGGCCATCCTTAGAGAGTGTTATCTGGTTGTGGGAGTGTTGTTTAGTTCCCAGGATGTTAGAGATGGTATTCCATGTGCTTTTCATGTTGCCTTTTGCTTCTTTGAATCTAGTCTCATAATATGAAAGTTTTGCTTTTCTTATGATACTGGTAAGCACTGATGAGTACCTTTTAACTACTTCCATTGAAACTAGGCCACTCCTAAATTTCTTTTCGTATTCATGTTTTTTGTTGATTGATTTAATTATGCCACTTGTGAGCCACGGGTTATTTTTTCTTTTATCAGTTACTTGTTTGGTAAGGAGGGGACAGGGAGTGTTGTAGAGGCTTAGAGTTTTGGAGAGAAAGAGGTTAGTTGATGAGTTTATATCCTGTGAATAATTAAATTCAGATTCCCAGTTAATATTGTGAAGTGCATTAGAGAGATTGCCTAAAGCTGATTCACTATGTAGCCTATATATATTATATATATATAAATAAAACTAACACTCAACTCACCAGGAGACTCGAACCCTGGCCCACAGAGTGGCAGGAACACACTGTATCCACTGCACCATACTTCAAAGCAATAAGAGATATTATGTTGGTATTTAACCAACAGAATTCCATTCCATTATTCTGTTGGAATTCCAGAATTCCAACAGAATAAATATTTATATTTATTTATTTATGTACACACACATAGGAAATAATGATGAATGGAATAGACAACTGTTAAAAAATCTGTAGTATAATGTTTAACATTAGCAAAATCTAAATTTACCAGAAGGTGTAAATTTATTAAAGCTACAATTTAAACAATTGTTTAAAACTAATTTACAGAAAGGTGCAAATTTATGCTAAGCATTTTGGGCATGTCGTAAATCAATTTAAATGCAGTAGTACCGACAGGTTAATATACATGATGAATAATTCACTTAGCAATTATGTGTATACTGTCACAAGAATCTCCCTAGGAAGAGAGATTGAGCCTATTCCTTCATCGCCTGTTCAACCACAACATGTCTGCTCATTCAAGAATAATGAATTAACAGCAAGAGCAACAACTATATGCATCTAGACAAGATTCCACTACTCTCTACATCCCAGTACCCAAGACCCCAGGACACCTGGCATCTGCAAGGCCCGCACCACACCGGTCAACAAGCATCTTGCTAGTTTGCATCGGCCGGCTGGCAATTATCGACACACCAGCGCCATCTGCACAGTCAAGCCCCCATATATATAGAAGCCAGTCAGTCACTACCAAGCAGAGTACTCTTTAGTGCTCATACCTGCTACATCTGCTCTCACACTACCCTGTGTGTTGGTAGATTTACACAGTCTTGTACATAGTGTACCAGCCCCATTTATTTTGATCTTTAACGTAGCATTAACTTGTTTGTTTGCTTTTCATTTTTGCACATTGTATTCAGCCAAATAAGTAATTAATTATCAAAAGAAGGCACCAAACCGGGAAGGCTATGTAGCACCATCAAATGTGCGGGATAATCAGAAGGTACTAAATATCACCAAGGATGTCAATACAAGAACAAAAACGCATAAAGCGAACATCAAAAGTATAAATGTTTGTGGAACCAAATTGAGAAGGGTAGAGGTGGTGATGGTGTTCCAAGAACCACATCAGACGAACGTTAACATACGTTCACAGAGCTTGCAGACAACATGTGAGGGCAATAGGGCAAAAGTCCTTAGGGGATGCTCCCAGAGACCCAGGTTTGCGAACAGGGAGGACAACGGCATTGAGCCAGTCCTCAGGGACTGACGACAACTCCCAAATCCGATTATACATACTCGGTAAACACCGAGACGTGCACGGAGGGAGATGGCGAAGCGTCTCTTAATGAATGCCAGCGCCGCCGTTGAACCACATAGGGCCAGGGCAGACTGAAGTTTTTTGAGTGAGAGTGAGAGAGAGAGAGAGAGAGAGAGAGAGAGAGAGACAGACTGAATCGTTATAGGGAAGGCGAAGACAAGTGCAGAACTCTAAAGGGCGAGATTCAAGGACAGGTTTACGAACAAGGAAAGAATGGGGAAGATGAAAACCAGAGCTAACAGAAGTGGGAACCCAGTTCGGTAGCGACCTGCAACGGGTTCGCCACAGAAGTACCACGGAGGGTAAGGACTGACAAGACATTGGGAACGAACTTACCCGCGATCTTGCGGATACGCTTCCAGAGCTGCAGCAGAGGAGTTTCAGACGTAATGGTAGAGACATAAGACACCCAACATTCATGTTTAGTCGTATGGATGGCCCTACGGGCCACTGCACTCTTCTTCCAAAATAAAAGAAAAGAATCAGCCGTCTACTGGCGGCGGTCTCTCTTCTAGGCTGCACGCTTACAGTGGACAGCCCGAGCACAGTCTGCATTCCACCAGAGAACACACTTCCGTGGTCCCTGAGAGGAAGAGCGAGGTAGAGAGCGGAGGGCAGTGTTGAAGACAGCGTCATGAAAAAGGAGGAGAGAGCGATGGAGAGGCAGAAGGGAGAGGTCAGAGAGCAGCACTGAGGGTAAATAGGTTCCAGTCTGCCCTAGCAAACTGCCACCTAGGGAAGGAGAGGGGAGGGTGAAGAGAAAATATAACAAGGATGGGGGAAATGGTCACTGCCATGGAGGTGATCAAGAACCTACCACGTGAAATCTAAGTAAAGAGAAGACGAGCAAAGAGAAAGATCAAGACAGGAAACGGTGAGAGTCCAAGAGTCCAAATGCGTGGGCTCGGCAGAATTCAGAAGAGACAGGGAAGGAGAGAGGATGAACGGCTCAAGAAGGCGACCCTGGGTGTTTGTCAGAACATCACCCCAAAGGGAATGACGACAAATGAAATCACCTAGCAGGAGCACAGGCTCTGGCAAGGAGTCCAGTAGGCGTTTCAGATCGGGAAGAAAAAGCGGGACACTCGGGGTCGTCCCTTCACCTAGTGAGTGGTCTGGTCAACTCGGTGGGAGATAAATAGAACAGCGTACCATTTCCTCACAAACATATGAGCAGCAGAACAATGGAGAGGAAGGAAAAAGTAAGGCATCTCGTGGTAAATACCATCTGAAGCTGCTGCCATAGAATTGCAGACGGATAAGTTAGACTAGTTCAGAAAGGGTGAAAAAAATCATGGTAGGAGAGGCAGAGGCACGTGTGAAAGTCCGTTGGCAGTGGCTGGAGAGCCACTAACACTATTTTTTTGGTTTGGTAAGAGAATCTTTACTGGATCTAGTCCATCCCAGTGAGCAGACTTGCTGTTAAAGCTTTACATTGCAGTACCATTTTACACTTCCTTTAGTTCACCTTTCCATGTAGATATTACAATACAGTATTGGCATATTAACATGTTCTGTATATTAACGATTCATTGTCAACAGGTATTTAAAAATAGAGGCCGAGAGCAGTCTTGTACAAGTCTAAGTAAACTACAATCGTCTGATGGGGGTTCACCATTACTGTTCTTATTTATTAATGATGGGGGTTCACCATTACTCGGTTCTTATTTATTAATGATATACTTTAGATTCTTTCGTTATTTTCTTGAATAGCCTTGCCCTGTTAAGAAAAGCCTGGTGTAGATAGGCAAAGTTCGTTGCCTGTGCCTCTTTTTAATAAAGAGCACATGTTAATTCAGTTCTGCTATACAGTATATTTTTAAGGATATCATTAGGGATTGCTAGCCAATAGGAGCTGTGGAGCTGCTGAAATTTCAATGCCGCCACTTTTTTTTCAATGATTACCGCTAATAATTCCTAGAGTGGAATATTTAAAAATTTGTTTAATTACAAAATGATTTGTGCAAAAGAGTTAGGTACTGCAACATTATATTTATTAAATGTGAAATATACAGAAGAGCACTTCAGAACATTTAAAAGGCAATATACTTCCCTCACCATTACAAATGGTCTATAATGCTTTACATGATGTTTGGCCATGTACCATAACAGGAGGGTTACCTCATTAGCTGTACCACACATTAATATCCATTTAACACACAAACACACGCACTACTATTCTACCATCTGTTCAAAACCACACTTCAAATATTCTGCAAAACATTTACTTATACAATGGGTATAGTTTCATACACTAAACTATTTAGGTTTACAACATACTCAAATGTTCATCATCACTAACAGCTGTTAACAATTTGCCTTAATTTAGGATTTTTTTAAAAATATAGAAAGCTATATCATAAGCTTGTCAACAAATATCCTTTGGATTTGCTTTATAAAGATTTTAAAAATGTCTGGCTAGTGATCAGGCACACTTAGGAAATTCACAGTCATGGGGTTATAATCTATCAATTCCATGTGAGCTGACCTGTCATGTGTAATAACCTTGAGTCCTATGAAGCCTCCAGACCCAACCTGACCTTTATGGAAAAGTTCAACACCAGAAAACCAGATGCTGGGGAAAGGAGCAACAGGCTGTGCATCAAAGAAAGGTATAGTAAGCTGAGCAGCATCTTTTCTCCTATCAGTGGGGCCAAAACGAATAAATGAGTCTGGTCTGGAGTCCTCTTGAGAGGGGGTTAGGAATTTAGTTGGGTCATCTGGAGAGTCGATCAGAAGTTCACTCCTAGAGTTAGTAGACATGGCTGGTGTGTTGTCATTGCTGATCCAGTAACTCTTGTAAGGTTGCAGCTTTCCTGTTGTGTAGTTTACAGGGGTGATTTGTACCTAGGGTAGGTAGATAGGATATTAATTTGGAGGAACATTAACTAATATTACTTGCTGTACATTTTTTCGAGATTCTTGGTAATACACGCACACATGCATATCTCTGGCTATTGTAGTTCAGCCCCAATAAAAGCAAACCTTGCACTTCAAGTCTCAAACCAGCCAGTGCACAGTCAGTGTGCGTGTTCTCCCCTCTAAAAAGATGCAAATATAAACTTAAGGCAAACAAATACGTGGTCCCAAGTGCATTCTTTGACTGGAAAATATTGTAAAATCAGTGTTAAATGTTAGACCATTTTTTTTTTATTGCTAAAATTAATGAGGAATACAATTTGAAAATAAAATATGGGAGTGCTGGCAGTCTAGGAAAATGCAGGCTGGTGACTCGTTCACACTGTTGGCGGGCATGTTAGGTGAAGGTCTCAACCATCAGTGGGATGCTCTACAATTTTCCCCTATTTGGCCAAGTGCCGACTCTTACATCTTGAGGTTATCTTGAGATGATTTCGGGGCTTTAGTGTCCCCGCGGCCCGGTCCTCGACCAGGCCTCCACCCCCAGGAAGCAGCCTGTGACAGCTGACTAACTCCCAGGTACCTATTTACTGCTAGGTAACGGGCATTTAGGGTGAAAGAAACTTTGCCCATTTGTTTCTGCCTCGTGTGGGAATTGAACCCACGCCACAGAATTACGAGTCCTGCGCGCTATCCACCAGGCTACGAGGCCCTTAGTGGTGCTTGTTCCATAGTTAGGTGTAGGATTTGTGTGATTTCATGTCCCAGTGACAGTTGGCAAATGTGCAAGTTTTCCATTATTGAATGTGTCTTGTCACTCCCTGTAGCATATGTCCTGTGCATGGTTATTCTTTGTCACTTTAAATTGCCTTGTATTGATATTTATGGTACATTGAACAAAAAAGTCCAATATACTATGAATTATAGTGAAAGTTCAAGTTGTTGATGGATTACAGAGTAAAGCATCTTGGTTAACAAGTGTTAAGTTTGTTGACCCAAGTGTCTTAAAACAAAGACTAGGAGCATTACAAAAGTGGACCACTTGCAATATTTTGTAACATCTTTAAGTATAAATCTTTGTTTAAGCCATTGTAAATCAAATTTCTATCATTTGAGACCTGTGTTGCATGTCATAATTGATGTTCCCTTACAGGAACCGTCCAGCCCAGGTATGTGGCGTTTGTCACTTACGTAAATTAACCAAGTCAGCCCCTTCGATTATTCCCACTTGTAAAGGCCAGGCATTTGTTTCTACGTAGTTCAATTTATACTGGTATAAAAAGACCAGTTGCCTTTACCAAACCAACAATCATACATACACCTACTATAAAAGATTCTCTATCTATAAAGCCAACAAACTTTGTAAAATCTCTTTATGTATGTACCTTTACCTAAATAAAAATTATTATTATTATTATTATTATTATTATTATTATTATTATTCATGTACAGAAACCTCAAGTCCCTGACTTCCATGTCCTACACTCTTAAGCCAAATTTACTTTCATAGTACATACCTCCAAGTTGATATGAGAGCCAAGCATCCTGAAACGAACACCAGTAACAACATGATTATCAGGCGCCACAAGACGGTCCAAATCAATACTACGTTCCTCATACGATAGCTTCTTGAAGTGTATGCCCTCTTGATCAGACATGCTGTATGTACAAAAAATGGGAAAATTAATTTTAAGCAATACCAGTACTGTTAGTGCACACACAGCAGCATTAATTTAATAATATACTCTGTGCATAATTACATAGGAAATTATTATTTAACACTTGCTCAATATAACTGAGCATAATGAAGCCATTCTGAGCAGGTCTTTTGTAGATCCTGAAGCTCAAGCCATTTTTGTCCATCTACGACTATTTCCCTGCTAGTGTCTAGTTTAATTTGTGAATTCCAACTACAGTATAGTCAGAAGTAAATTTCGTACCACCAGTATAAAAAAAAAAGCAAATGCATTACCTGATAATGTTGATGGGTTTTACATCAACCCATTGTATAGTGGACATGTTAACGTGTCCTTGCGGCAACGCCTGACCTTGTTGTACCTGAAGATGTATAATTTTTCTTTGCTTGACAAACTGCACCCCCATCACTACCTGAAGGAAACAAAACCACCTTATTAAATTGCCAATATCACTAGAGCATTTATGTAGTCTCTTACAAAGCTGCTAATTACAACACCTTAGGAAAGTATTAAGCCTAAGGAAAGAACATTAACAAAGCAATGATTGTAATGTTTAAAATAATTTGTTGATTAAGAGTCTTCATATTAATGAGACACTGCACTGTTTACATACCATTATTAATTTAATATTTTAATAAGCTATTCACACTCGTTCAGAGGGTAGTTAGTGCCTTTCATTCGTCCACCCCTTCCTAGTGAACCACTCACTTTGGCCACTTGTTAAATGATGGTGAATGTTTATTACTGGTTTTCTTTTTAGAAAATTGTTTATACGGTTTGAATGTTTATTTTGGTATCAAAATATTTTTAAAGAAGCGTGACTTTAGGCACAAAACATCGGATGAAGTAGCTCGGGTATAAAAGGGGATAATTTTAAAATTTCTACATGCTGTACCCTTTTTTTTTTTTTTTTTAAGGTACAGATTATGACTATACCTCTAGAGAAACAATATTTCTTAATGCTAGCCTAACAACTTTAAAGAGCAAATCAAATCCATTAACAATTGTGAGCAGATCCATCAACTAGTGTGAAATGCATTAAAAATGCAAATCGGTGCCTAAATGTTTGACAAATTCTATGCTTTGCAATAGTTCTATAAAAGCTTCCAGAGAGAAACTATTAAGAAAGTAGCAAGCCTACTTACCCATAAGCAAATCAAGTTTAAAACATGGTGCACATATTTAAACAAGGTGGAAAAATACTTTAGAGTTAATAGGCATAAATGTATTAAAAATTAAGCATGCAGAAAGAGGTACTCTCCTTCAAATAAACCCACCATATTATTTCGTGTATCACTGAGGGCAGGAACAAGGCTGATGTATCTGTCACTGGTGGGGGAGTTTCCATCATCACAGAGACAGAAGCAGTAGGAGCAGTGATATAGAAACCTCTGCCATGATTGTACCCTCCAGAGAGGCCTCCCACATGACTGAGATGACCCCAGCAGCAGGCCATTCTCATACTTGATCGAGTCATACCTTCGGTAAGGATTTCGGGAGGGGCATACCCAGGAGTCGGCATAGTTATATTGGCAGTCATGAATAGTGCCCATACAGCGGCGCTGTTTGCCACAGTATTGAGTCTCAGGAATGTAACACCCTTCATTCTTAGTGTGCCGATAGTAGCCACAGTTCTGCGAGCATGACCCACCTTCATTCATGTCAACTTCATTTTCAATGTAACCCTGAAATGGATTTGCTAAATTATATATATGGTAAGCAAGTTCAAATTGTATCCTCTTTAATCAGGGAACAAGGCTTTTTTCCCTGACTAGAGGGAAGGCACAATAAACCTACTAGGCTTATTGAGATCCTAGTAAGCTTCTCCAAAGGTCGACTCAAACATTTCCCTAGGCTGAAAAAGCAACCCATACCAATTGTTCAATTTTTGGTTACCTAATTAGTTAGGTATACCAAGCACCAAGCAAAACTAAATTTTACCCAAACACTTCAGTCCCGCAGTGGAAATTGAGCCCAGTACCTTTCAGTAATTAGCCCTATTACTAATGTTTTATCAATTATGTTAACTAATTACTCATGGTAATTTTTTATTCATTTGCTCAAGATTGACTGTTCACCTTGTAACCTAAAATTCACTATAAATTGTGTTAACCTGAAAGACTTGCAAACAAATGTGCCATTTAAGTAAAATTTTGCACTGATGACTTGCTATATGTTCCTAAAATAACTATTGTATGATGATTAAACAAAAACTTTCAAAGTTATAGAAAATATTTGGGGATCATGGCAAAATAAAAATACTGTACTAATATTTGGCCTACTTTTGCCATTTGAAGTTAAAAGTGCTTTCAGACAACACTCAGCCCCCTTGTTTAACTCCCTAAACATGCTAAACATAATCTCACTCCACAAATTCTCTTGTGTCAACTACATTTACAAAACCCTGTTCTTAAGTGCAAATCCTGCTCTGAAACTCTTCCTGGACAGATGTAATAGGACCCATTATCACCACACCAGAAATAAATATCTCTTTGATATCCCCAGAGTTAAACTTAATCTGTGTAAACACTATGCAAATAAAGGGACCCAATTTATGGAACTCTCTATTGAATTGAAAAGCTGTCCAACTTTTACATCATTCAAAATCAATACTAAAAAGTACCTAATTTCATCTTCATAGTTTTTCACTTTTTGCCTTAAAATTGCACTGTATTACTACCCAATCTCCCAACCTTTATGTTCCCAATTTGAACATCTTTACCATTGTGATCATGGCTGTCTTCTTATATGTGCTGCCAATCTGCTGTATGGTGTTTATTAATCTTATTTATCTGTATCTATTGCTACCCAGTCTCCCAATTGTTATGTACCCAATCTGAACATCTTTACCATTGTGATCATTGCTGTCTTATATGTGCTGTCAATCTGCTGTATGGTGTCTATTAATCTTGTTTAAATTACTAATCAAGCTGTCAATGTAATCAGAGCTTTAATATAACAATGTGCTTTAATATACTTAGTAAGCTCTCATCTCATTTTTCTCTTGCAATGTATCTTTATCATTTATCAATTCTCATAGAAATTACCTACTTAAAATTATCCGTTAGATTAAGGACCTGCCCGAAACGCTGCGCGTACTAGTGGCTTTACAAGAGTGTAAATACTGTACTATTCAATGTATTCTCACAAACCCAATGTACCTTCTTGTATATATATAAATAAATAAATAAATAAATAAATAAATGTGAATTTATACCCAAAGTGGAAGGATTAAGCATTTTTAACTATACTGCTTGTAACCTTCATTTAAATTCCAAATTGTTGCAAATTGTCAATGAATACCTCAAATTTGTTAGTTTTAGGACATGCCCAAAACCCAACCAAGCTTTTTAAGAAAGTACTTATCCAATGAACCATATAAACACAAACTTACAAAATGCACTACGGTACCTTATAAATATATTAAAGCATTCGACAGCCTTAGATGGGAAAACATTTAATAAACATGGACACAAATTGAAAATGAGGGAGAAAATCAAGATGGATACCTGTAATAGTTCCGTAAACTGAATATAGGTGTCGCCCTCTTTGTGCTTACGTGGGTCACATCTGAAGAAATCGGGAGATTCGTTAACTATTGCCTTCTTTGCCTCTCTCATGATGTCATCAGAGTACTGAAGGTACAGTTTCTCTGAAACTTCATGCTCTGCTGTAAAGTTACCTGTGATATGATCGAAACAGTATGATTTACACAGGTGCTTTGGATATATTAGGGTATTAATGCAGACTATATATATTACATTAAAAAATTAAGCATTTCCTACATTAGCAAGAAAACGACAGCATGATATTAGCTTAAGTGTGCATCGGGATTGTGACATCGCTTATTATGAATCCTCTATTCATAGAAGAATTTGGCCACAAGAGGGGTCAATGTAAAATTGTTAGAGGAGTTTAAACCAGACCAGATAGAAGTACTATACAGACCAGATAAAAGTACTTTAGTTGGAATATGTCATCTTACTATGAACCTACAGTATATAAAGTAGCTCCCTTAACAGGAAAATAATGTTAAGAAAAACAAAAATGATAAAAGAATTAGAAGTGGATGTGGACATAGGTAAAGTCTTAGTAGTGGATTAGAGAAGGAAATTATGTGCGAAACAGTGAATTACGTGAATTACGTGACTGCTCAATAGTTTTGTTCAATTTAAATACCAGAGATTTGTGATCGCTTTAAGAATAATTTGTACAACTAAAGTCAAGAATGGGGTTAGTCAGGAAAGGAATAAATGGTGCAATTAAAACCCTGGTTAGAAAAAATACATGGGAATAAATGCAGCCAGAAATCTACATTGAAGGAATAGTGGTGGCAACTCCATACAATACAGTACCATCTTTCAACTGTATGTTGAACATTATAAATACTGTACTGTACCTTTATCAAGAATTGGCAAAATAAAAAAAGTTTGAGAAGTACGTGTGGTGGTAAGAGGAATAAGTGTGTGTGTGTGTGTGTGTGTGTGTGTGTGGGGTGGTAAGGTGTTAAGGCGGTGTGCAGGACAAACAAATTGTGACACTATCTCTCCACATATGTCAGTTGCTTAATTTAGAACCTGTACTTTAGGTCGATCTCGAACCCATTGTTGATGTGACGACTTATATTGAATTTTGTAACTATCTTATCAAGGTTGTAACTTGCTTGGCTAAATGAATTGTGGGGTTCAGTCCCTGAGCCCATTATGTGCCTCTAACCCTTTCCACTACTGCATACAAGATGGGTATGAGGTGCATAATAAAAACTAAACTAAAAAAAAAAAACTGGTGTCAAGAGGAATAAGTGTGATGTAATGGTGGCTTGAGGAATAAAAATGTGTTTACAAAAAAGATGAGTCCAAAAGTAGACTGGTAAAATTTTTTCCAGTGAATCGGAGAGCAAGACTAGGGTTACACCTAGGGCTGGAAAGAGGGTTATAGCTCACAGGAATTAAGGATGTCAGGGGTAGTATGACACGAGATATTTATTGAACAGCAAAGCTATGGGTAGTGCAAGGGCATGGGAGGCACTCTTGTATACCATGGATGGTAATGTCACTAATGGTCCCAGCTTTGGATTTTAGTGAGTGAATGATGGACAACATCTGAAGGGATGATCGGTGAGAGGAGAAGTGTGTTTGGATGACTACCTGAAAGGTATGTGGCAACATGTGTCTGGGTCTGTGGGATTTTTCAGGCAAGGTTAGCACCAATCTATGAAAAGAAGCTATTAAATTCAGTTGCTGTTTCAAGGTCTGTTGCAGGTGTAGAACCATCCTTTGGAGATTTTTATCTTGTTATGTGAATGCTATTTAGCTCTTAGAATGTTAGAGACGGCTCTCCATGTGCTTTCCATGTTGCCTTTTGCTTCTTTGAATCTGTTCTCATAAAAGGAACGCTTTGCTGCTCTTGTTATACTGGTAAGCACTGATGAGTACCTCTTAACTACAGTACTTTTGCAACTAGGCCAATCGTAATTTTTTTTTCATATTCATGTCGATTGCATTGAGTATGCCATTAGTGAGCCAGGATTATTTAACCTTTTGCCTGTTACTTGCTTGGTGAGGAAAGGACAGCAAGTATTGTAAAAGCTTAGGATTTTGGAAAGGAAGAGGCTAGTTAAGGAATTTATATCCTGTTTATTATTAAATTCTGATTCTCATTTTATATTGAGGAGGGCATTTGAGAGATTGCCTATTGCTGCTTCACTGTGTAACCTAAAGGTAATTTTCGTGTTAGCTGCTGGTGATATGGCCATGTTTGATACAAGGAAGGTAGGATAGTAGTCACTTGTTCTGACTGATTATACCAGATGTGAGGGGAGCCGTTATGTTGTTCCACAAGTGATCCAGGGTAGTAGCGGATGTTTGAGTGAATCGGGTGGGCCTGGTGATTGCTAGGATGAGCATACAGGAATTCATGCCATTAAGGAAATAGTCAACTTGAAGTCTATTTTGTTGCCCTAGGTCAATATTGAAGTCACCCCCCAGAATTGAGAGATTTTTGTTGAGGTTGCTTTTGATAAGATTCAAGTTATCTGTGAATGCAGCCATGTTAGTATTGGGAAATCTATAAATGGCTCCAATAGTCAAGGAGGATTTAAGGGATTTAATTGAAAATTGAGCAAAAATAAATTCACAGTAGTCATCTCTATCACTAATGACACTGTTGCAGATGAAGGTATCTTGGTAGTATATAGCTGTGCCACCTTCTTTGTTAGACCTACAGCTGTGAATGGCTCTAATTAGCCAAGTTGAAAAGTTGTGTATGGTCTTTACCTAGCCAGGTTTCTGTTAAAATTTACCCGAAAGCCACTAATACCAATGGCCTCGACAAGGACTGGAAGTTGGCGGCTTGTCAACCCCCAACCCCACTCCACCCTTCCATTTGACCTTATTTTTTTCCCCCGTTGTATTTTAAAACCCAGCAGAATTTTGGGGATTTACAACTTCAGCAGATAGGCAGTTCCATGGGTTTATAACCCTATGGGTGAAAAAGCATCTCTTTCTTAGTCCTACAATGTGTCTGAGCTTGAAACCGTTGCTCCTCGTTCGTGTTACATCCAACCTTTTGAAGAATTTGTCCAGATCAACACCCTCCAAATTGTTCAGTATTTTAAAGGTTTTGATGAAATCTGCCCTGTTATGCCTGGTTTGCAGTGTTAGCCCTGTGGCCCTCAACTGTTCCTGATACAAGAAATGAATTTGCTCTGGAATGATTTTAGTTGCCTGGTGTTACACCACCTACAGAACAGCATTTTTATAAAAGGTGTTCAGTGCAGGGGTTAATGCCTTTTAAATAATAAATAATTAGTACAGTAATGATTTTATGGAACTTGCCTTCATTATGCACTCTAAGTAACATCCAAGCAAATTCTAGCATGATAAATCCTCGAGTTTGTGCGAGTGATACCAGCTGGTGGAGACCAGTCATTAGCTGTTGAGGTGATTGATGCAGCAGACATCCACCACTTTTCTGGAAATGCATGAAAAGTTCTAAATGTAAAAATCTTGCCAGTACAATACTGTACTATGATTAGTGCATTGATGTATCTGACTTACATTAGGAATGCTACCTTAACTTCAAAATTAAACTTTTATTCTACTGGGGGACCCACGAAGTCTAATACACTATCTACAATTCCAAAGAGTCAAGTACCCCTATGCCTTATCATATTTGTCTAAATAATAACCTCCAATTCCCAAGGTACATTTTCAATGTCCCAAGTTACATTTGCTACCACTTTCCAAGCCTTCCAATTACTCCAAATTATTTTAACGTTGGTTGCCCACCTACAATTTTTGTATAATTTGACAGACTAGGGGGTGGTCTTAACTCTTTGGCCTAACAGTACACACAATATGGTTAATAATAAATTTGCTATAATGGTTACAGTAATGTATGGTACAATCCCATGGTGACAAGGCGAGCCATAAAATGAAGCTGTAGAATGCAGGTGAAAAGTTATGTCAGGTCATGGGCTGGCAGCAGTCAGCTTAGAGTCGACCTGCTGTAACTCGAGTGTTTGGAGAAATGACTGGGCCCCAGACAGATCAGAGGTTGTGTTGCTCAGTGATGGTATTGCTGGTGACAAACTGGTGATTCCCATGCTGTGCTCTACCAGCCTTTGTGTGCCAGTTTGGCTCTGTTCAGCACTGCTTGTAGATTGAGCACCCACCTACAGGATGGAACCAACCGACTCGAGGGATAAGGAACCGAGCCCGGGGAGGGGCTGACACCTAAAAACTCTTACAGTGAGGGGGTGAGGAAAATACCCCACTCAGCATAACCGCAAGCCCCGCCTAGAGGGTACAAAAACCCCCGCAGGGTCCAACAGGGCCCCTAGGCCCCCCCAAATCAGCCCCTCCCCAGCCTCGGGAACCCACATGGCAGGCCCCGGGGCAGAGCTGTCCCCCCAAAGCCCCGGCCTCAAGAAAAAAACCGGGGCAGCCACCAAAAAAAAAAAAAAAACTAAGGGAGCCAAAAAACCAACGACCCCGCCTCGAACCCACAGACGGTAAGGAGCCGGATGCAGGTAGAAAAGGGATGGGGTGGGGGGGGGGGGACCAGATTAGATCAACAGGGAAAAGACAAGGGGGCATGAAAAGAACTGAAGCAACCAACACCCACAAGCCCCAACACCAACCAAAGCGGGGCAGCCTCGGGGTTTGTGAGGAACAACCGAGAGCGTTGCCACAAGCGAAGCTCAACGTACAATGCCCGTGCTGCCTGCACCCACAGTCAGCACAAGACTGGGTAACCGAGTGACAAGCAACAAAACTCGCAGGACTCCGGACCGAAGGTGTTACCGACCCCACAGACAGCAGACGGAGGCAAAGACAGTCACCCTGAGGCAAGGGGGCAGAGTAACCCTCAAACTCGCTGGAAGCGAGGGGGGACTCCGGGGTCACCGCCATCGGACCCGCACGCCCCCAGGGGTTTCCCAGGGTCCTGAGCATTTACTAAAAGAGGACTCACGCTCAGGTAATCCCAGGCAGGGTACTGCTAACCGGCACCCAAAGCTACCAAACGACCTTTTAAGAACTGAACCCCCGGGACATGTACACTCACGGGGACCTAGTAGGGGGGAACCACCTGAAGGAAGAATACTCAGTACACAGGGGACAAGAACAAAGGCAGACCCCCCCCCCCCCACCAGACAAAGAAAAAGAAAATCCCGCAAGAGGACAGCATACCCAGGCAGAACAGAGCCGGCCGCCATGATTGGTGAAAACAAGCTGCGCAGCACCCTGCACCCCACCAGTGCAAAACTGCCCCTTACCCCAAGGCGAACAAGGGAGACAGAACACCCGAGCACACACGGTGCCGAAAACCAAGCAGTAACCGGCCTAGCAGAGGCAGAACCCAAGGAACTTGTGGAAGGTGGCCCCAAGCCCCGAGGGCAGTACTTACAGGGCACCTAGAGAAGGAAACCCTAGGCACATGCAGCCCGAGTACTGGAGAATCACTCCCGGCTCACGTACCACCTAGAAGAAGAAGTCACCACACCAGGTACAGTACTGAAACAACCACCGGAGCCAGAGCACATGACCTTAACCTTTAGCATCAGCCGAAGAGCTGATGGTGGATAGCCAGTGCGGTAGGTTTGGGGCTTCCCCTTCCCCCTCCCGGGGAGGGGGGGAGTTGCACAGACAGCGGTGCGGCGACATGATCGTTTGCTCATTTCTTTAGGGGAGTTCTATCCACCTGTTTGACTTGTGGTAGCAATTTTCACCAGAATAGGGGATTGTTTTGGGACGCTTACCTTTCTGGGTGCCTGACCTGGTCGATGGCAGACAGAACCACACGGGGGTTTTTATAGGCCATTGCTCCCCTTGCCTCTCTGAGGGGGCCAGGTTCTGGCTCGTGGTCCCCGGTAGGCCCATAGAACTCCAGACACATGACTGATGCCAAAGTCTGACATTAGCATATCAGCCTGGATAAGCTCCGGAGAGCCGAAGGGGCTCCCCCCCGGAAGGGGGGGACTTAGGAGATCATATCAAACGGAGAGAGTGGGGAGTCATGGCAGCTCAAGTAGGGTGTGTACACAGTACAACGAGGTCAGTGTTGGAGCCGCACCCCCCTAAGTATGTGATGCTGAACCCCACTCCAAGATCAAGAGGCATACAGGGTGATCTGAGTAAATTTCAAGCACTCCAATGTTCATTGCTGGTCGACTGTCGGTAGCGCGAGTGTGGCTGCCGAGGTCGGTTGTCTCTTCCGGCAGAGTGGTTGGGGGACCTTTTTCCGCTTGTACACAAGTAACAGTCTGGTGCAACAACCCGAGCTCTCTTTGGAGGTTTAAGTTCCATAAGCCCCAACCCCTTCAGGCCATAACACAAGTGGAAGGGGGAAAAAGGGAAAGCCTTAGTCTGAATATCCTATTGGAAAACACTACTGTACACTCAATTTACAATACATTTTTTTTAAATTAATGATCAAATATAATCAAAGGATGCAAACACTATATTCCTTTCATATAAATTTCTATTACGTTCATATGAAAAATAATTCAATGTGTATGGAGATAGGCAGCCAGCGTATATTATACACATGTTAAGCTTATATTTAGGTTACCCCCCACCCCCACCCAGGATGCAACCCCACAACAAGCTGAATAACTGGATGCCTACTTACTGCTAGGTGAACAGAGCATTAGGTGATAGTAAATGCACCCAACCATTTCTGTCCTTCCTGGGATTCGAACCCAGAATTCTCTAGTGAGAGTCAAGAAACGTGAGATGAGATGCGAGATGTGAGTGAGATGAGATAGTGAGATGCCCGAAACGCTGCGCGTGCTAGTGGCTTTACAAGACTGTAATTACCATATTTGTATCCTCACATTCCTTATGTACATTCTTGTATATGCATAAATAAATAAATAAATAATAAATAAATAAGAACAAACCCAACTGTTCTAAGTTAATTTCCATTTTTGCACATATTGTACAAGAGTAGCTTCCATAAGATACAGTATTGGTATGTAACAAAACTTACTACTGAAAATATTAACATCTCTAGGTTTGAATCCTAGGCAAGACAAAAATGGCTGGACACATTTCCTATCACCTAATGGGCCTATTCACCGAGCACTAAATAAATACCCAGGAGTTAAGTCAGCCTTTAGTGGGGTTGCATCCTGGGGAGGGTCAATAGTTCAATCTTGTGGGGGGGGGGCGACCTCAGAATAAGGCTAACATGTGTATGTACACCGTCTGCCTGTCCCGACACTGGGTTAATTAAATGTTTTTAAATAAAAATTCTAAATGGTCTTCATAATTCTCAAAAGTACCATATACCAAGCTAGCATTTTTTCCAAATGCTGTACAGTATTGTGAATATTCAAGTATAATACACAACTCACTTTGAGAGCATCATGCAGCATGACGAACAAACTTGCTCGAGATGAAGGCTGATTCTGCCATTCAATGATACTCCTCAGCAAGTTCTGAAAGGCGTTTTTGACTGTGACCCTCCCAGACAGGCTGTATGCATTTTTAGGGTCATTTGTCACTCCAGCAGATAACTGTTGGAAGGAATTTGATGTTTGAGATTTTTAGAAATGAGGGGAAAAAAAAAAAAGTGCAGGTACATTACATAATAATCTGAACAAGAAATTTGAAAAAGTACATAAAAACATCCTCACCATACAAAATAAAAATTGTTCCACAACCTTTTACCAATTTCCATAAAATCTCACATTTCTTTTCAGTACATTAAATCAATCTTCATAACTTCGTTTCAACAACTAAATTAAGTTTTTAATTCTGGTTCACACAATTACTATGGCCAATTTATGAAACTTTGGCCAATTATTTTATTAAATACAAACAAGTTATAGCTACTAATAGTGCATAATTCATCTACCTCCCAAATTTGGGTGACCTGATTTAATACAGAAGATTATTTTGTCCATATATGAGCTTGGGCTAAGTTTTTCAACTAAGTTTTTGAGGGGCCTCGTAGCCTGGTGGATAGCGCGCAGGACTCGTAATTCTGTGGCGCGGGTTCGATTCCCGCACGAGGCAGAAACAAATGGGCAAAGTTTCTTTCACCCTGACTGCCCCTGTTACCTAGCAGTAAATAGGTACTTGGGAGTTAGTCAATTGTCACGGGCTGCTTCCTGGGGGTGGAGGCCTGGTCGAGGACCGGGCCGCGGGGACACTAAAGCCCCGAAATCATCTCAAGATAACCTCAAGATCTCAAGATAACCATGCCTCTTAAATTAGCATGTAAAACAGAATGCAGTTACATACACCACTTATTCTAATCATGCACTTTAACCAGCTCCCTTATCCTGCCTGTTGCACATCCTCACCCCCTCCCCCTCCCCTTTCTCATCTTATTCACTCACATTTACCTCCCCATCCCCATTATATTTACCATTTTATGTCCCATTTACCCCTACCCTTCATTTTATCCCCTCTTTCCCTCACAATGCAGGATGCTTAGCTATTCATGCTAAAGTATGCAAACTCAGTCATATGATTAAAAGTTTAACGATTAAACAAATACAGCTTAGATCAAAATGGGGAATGTATTACCAGTAAATGTGCGAATAAAGGCGAGTTGACCCTCTGAGCAGCCTCGGGTGCTGCCAAAGTGTGCAGGTGAACCATAGATGACATTACTGAATGCGAGTCATGAGATACTACGGAGTTGGCAAAATCCACCAGTGTGTGGTCCTCTATCTGTTGAGAAAGTTTGTTTTAGACCTAGTAGCTACAGTATGACATTACAGTGTAAATATTATACTGTATAGCAATACTCTTAGTACACACAAATCACAATAGTGTGATGTATCAAATGAACAAATCTACAAGGGCAATGACGAGGGTTCGAACCTACACCCAGGATGATCCTAGACGTGCCTTAGTTGACTGCTCCATGACATGGTTAAAAGAATTTCAACCTCGAGTGCTACTTGCCCTCACGAGGCTCCCGCAGCTTCTCCGAAACACAAACCGGGGTTTTACACAATTCCCCATGCACCCAGGCTCTGTCAATCAAATGCTATACCTCTTTGCCCTTACTTCAATATGCAAGTAGCACTCTAGGTTGCAATTCTTCTAACCATGTCGTGGCGCAGTCTACTAAGGTGCATTTGGGATCATCCCAGACGTAGGTTCAAACCCTCATCATGCCCTTATGGATTTGTTCAATACTCTTTGTATTTATCCCAAACTAACAGCGAGGAAAAATTCAAAACATCCTATACCAAAGCAAACTACATGTTATCACTGCTACAAAACGCCACACATTTGCTAGAAACAATGAGCAAACCAATTTTGACACCTTTGCCAGCTTTCATACCTCATAGGTAAATGAGGCATGAAAGCTGTTAACTACAGTAGTTAACAAGGAGAAAACAGTTAACAAGGAGAAAAAATATACCTTATGCTTGAGCTTCTGGTAAAGTAGGAACTTGTTGTAGAGCGTGTTTATGGGCCTGATACAGTCCTCCATACTGTTGAGGGCAATTTCCCACCGCACCAGATCTTGCAGTCCAGTAGCTACATCTCGCAGCGAATTTGTAACTCCATGAACCTACGGTAACAATGATATTATACAAGTACTGCTTAAAGATTACATATTTAACAGTTATAAAACCTTCCATTGGTATTTATAATAATTCCCATAAATGGGTAACTGCCTTTTTGAACAGGTGTGCTACATGTCCACTACAAATAATATATACTAACAAAAAAATTAGTTACTCTAATAACAGTGGAAACTTTAATCATCTTTACTATGTTTACTAGTATACATGTGACAATGTGACATGCTATAAAGAAGCCAAAAACCCTCCATGTTTACCCAAGCCTTCCCTGATCCTCCTACCATACTTTCCCCCCACCCCATGCTACAGCTTTTTAAAGTGCCCCATAATACCAATCCTAATCTACATCCATCATATAGTGGTATACCCACCCCATGCTCCATTTGATCCAAGCGACGTGAAAGCAACTCAAACATGGCCAGCAACCGTCTGTCTGCCATAGGGATGGACGAGCCAAAAACCTCATTTTTTGGATTGAGATTGAACACCTGAAAAATAGGCAAGTTGCATTAACAGTACTCTACAGTATAGCAATACAACAATGGAAACCTAGCCACAGTTCTTACTCTACAAGTCAGTGCAATTAGAGGATTTTGTAATTTTAAAAATATGCACAAGAACATGCTAGTGGTTAAGTTAGTTACATAAATGCATATTTAATAAAGCTGTTAGTATGCAAGGTTTGTTTTGTAACAAAAACTCATTTGAATGAGAATTATTTCTGCAATAATCTTGGCCAATTACTAATTATAATCTAATCACTTATTTTTATAATTGTCATGCCTAATACCTGAAGCAGGTGATTAGTAAGTAATAACGAATCAATAAGCATATTATAATGGGGAATTCACTTGGTTAACATTTATAACAACTGCGGGCGATGAGTCACGACGTGGCCGAAGAATTTTTACCAGACAACGTACTAGAAGGTGAAGGGACGACGATGTTTCGATCCGTCCTGGTCGATTCTCAAGTCGATTGTGAGAATTGACTCAAGAATGGTTCAATACGGACCGAAACGTCGTCGTCCCTTCACCTAGTGTGTGGTCTGGTCAACATGAATAACCAATAGTCAACGAGCATGAATAGTCCGTCGACTACTAGGTGGATAAATAGGACACCTGAAGTGATACTGTACATCCTGAACATGACTGAATAGAGCCAACGGGTAAGGGGAGATGTGCAAGATAGGGTAGGCTATTAACCCATTACCCCAATTACATAACTAATACTGTACCCAGACATAGTGGTGTCGAACTGTTAACGGGTTAATTGCCTAGATAAATAGCCGCCATTAAGTACGTGTGAACGGGTCCGTCTAATTACCACAAGCTACCACAAGCTACACAAGCTTCAGAAAGCTTCCTGGCAATACGTTGGTAATGAATAAATATGATATGTTAGGTTAGGCTGACCTAACCTGACCTAACCTAACTTAACCAAACCAAACCTAACCGAAGCTTGGATCGTCGACTTGATTTGGCGTCACCAGCTTTTTATTTTCGTCTAATTTCTTTATAAAAAGATACTTTCAGATTAAAATTATGTTTTTTCGTGGTGTACATTCAGCACCAACATTATAAGGAGTAAATATATCATATTTATTCATTACTAACGTATTGCCAGGAACCTTTCTGAAGCTCGTGTAGCTTGTGGTAATTAGACGGACCGATGTGAACCATGTGTTACTCTACCAAAAAGGAATTGGCAAAGTGCTTAAACTCTGAATTGTCTTTGTGCAAACAGGTAATATTACACAGTGAGAAAGGAAAAAATCTGGAGTTAACAGGGTAATGGGGGGTGGTAGGAGGGTAGTTGTGTGTTTGGGGTGTGTGTGTGTGTGTTTGGGTGTGTGTGTGTGTGTGTTTGGGTGTGTGTGTGTGTGTGTGTGTTTGGGTGTGTGTGTGTGTGTGCGCGCGTGTGTGTTTGGGTGTGTGTGTTTGGGTGTGTGTGTGTGTGTGCGCGCGTGTGTGTTTGGGTGTGTGTGTTTGGGTGTGTGTGTGTGTGTGTCTGTGTGTGTGTTTGGGTGTGTGTTTGGGTGTGTGTGTGTGTTTGGGTGTGTGTGTGTGTTTGGGTGTGTGTGTGTGTTTGGGTGTGTGTGTGTGTTTGGGTGTGTGTGTGTGTTTGGGTGTGTGTGTGTGTGTTTGGGCGTGTGTGTTTGGGTGTGTGTGTTTGTTTGGGTGTGTGTGTTTGTTTGGGTGTGTGTTTACTAGTTGTGTGTTTACTAGTTGTGTTTTTGCGGGGGTTGAGCTTTGCTCTTTCGGCCCGCCTCTCAACTGTCAATCGACTGTTTACTAACTACTTTTTTTTTTTTTTTCCCACACCACACACACACACACACCCCAGGAAGCAGCCCGTGACAGCTGACTAACTCCCAGGTACCTATTTACTGCTAGGTAACAGGGGCACTTAGGGTGAAAAACTTTGCCCATTTGTTTCTGCCTCGTGCGGGAATCGAACCCGCGCCACAGAATTACGAGTCCTGCGCGCTATCCACCAGGCTACGAGGCCCCTACTGTGTTTGGGTGTGTGTGTGTGTGTGTTTGGGTGTGTGTTTGTTTGGGTGTGGGTGTGTGTTTGTTTGGGTGTGTGTGTGTGTGTGTTTGGGTGTGTGTGTGTGTGTGTGTGTGTGTGTGTGTGTGTGTGTGTGTGTGTGTGTGTGTGTGTGTGTTTGTGCGCGCGCGCGCGGGTGGGGGGGAGGGGGTACATCATATTTCCCATGATCTAAACAACTATACTTATAATTTTAACTACTGTAGTTCAACTGAATCAACAGCAATCCATAAAATGACTTACGATAAAATGACATCTTACGCCATTGTCATCCCTTCCGTCATCACCGCCCATCCTCCGTATGCAGTAACATTACATGAATATTACATTAAAAGGTCCCAACGGTAAAATCCGATTCGTTCTAGATTCAATTCCGGATTCCAGTCTCGGGCAGGAGAGAAAGGAATGAGAGAATATCCTGTTGCATGCCCTGATGCCCCTGCTCAGCTAGCAGTAGGTAGGTACCCGGATGTCAAGTCTGCTTCATGTGGGTTTGCATCCTGGCGAAGCGGTCAGTAGTTCTTCCTTGAAAGGTAGGTGGGGGGGGGAGGGGAAGAGAACCTTGATACAGCAAGTAAGGTATACACCCCACACACACTGGCTGGCTGGCTGCTTGTCCCCCGACACGAGGAATTATTATAGCATAGAATTCTATGCCACTTAGCAGTCGCGTCCGCCAAAAGTTTGGCCAAGATCATTACCGTCATGATCTTCAGTCATTCAACACAAGCATGGAATAAATGGTTCCCACCCAATCTCCCTCAAAGAATAAAACACTAATCATCCCCCCCCCTAAAAAAATACGTGCTTAACTGAGGTTGCAAATCCCCGATACTTAACACCCAGTGGGAACGATATCAAAATTCAACGCTAATACAACGTTGATTTAATTCAAAGTTGATGATACGTTAACAGATACCGCGCCCACTGGCCAACAGTTGGTCTCTGGCTTGCCAAACCTACCAACTTTGCCACAATGTCGATGTAGTTGGTGACTCCCATGCCTGCTTTGCTGGAGTCTATGAGCTTCGTCAGAGCCACTTCGACATTCCCCATGAGGGGGGTCAGGAGGGCCAAGGTGTCTCTCTCTGCAATAAGTGACATCTTTTACTCGCGGATTCGTAGACAAAAATAAATGAGCATAAATAACTGCTGTTGCTGAGCAAAGCAGTGAGAATTTTTTGTATACAACTGTTTTGTATTAAACTATAAAGCAAAACTACAACAATTTAAAATATAATGTAGCAGCATAAATGAATATAATGAATTGAGTACATGTAACTGTGCGCAGCAGAAGTGCTGCGCACACAGAAGTGATTGTCGACAAAAATGCAGTATCATGTAGCGAGGGAACAGCACAAGGCCCCAGTTCACAGGGGACGTTGAATGTAAACAACTAGGTAGCAACAGGAGTGAGGCATTCATGAAGTGAGGAGGAAATACGAGTCCCGAGAGGTATGGTAGGGGGAAGGGGTGTTGAAGGGAAGGGAACTATCAGGGGGGGGGGAAAGCGCCAAGCCATTACGACTATATATTACTGTGAAGGGATCAGGATATAAGTATTTGGGATGGGACGGGGCAAAAGGGAATGGTGCCCAACCACTTTGACTGTCGAGGATTGAACGTCGACCTACATGAAGCGAGACAGTCGTTCTACCGTCTAGCCCAAGTGGTTGGAGAGGGAAAGTTTAGTGCAAGAAACATGGGGGGGGGCGAATTGAACGAGCAACTATTGACAGCCAGTCACAGACTGCGGGATCCGTGTGAGGGCAGTAGCACTCCCGGTTGTAAATCTTTTTAACCATGTGGCACAGTCGATTTAGGCGCGTCTGGGATCTTCTCAGACAGGTTCGAACCCTCATCACGGCCCTTGTGGATTTGAACCTCTACATCTTAATCTTTGGCTGCTTTGTTTAATGCGGAACTTCTCAATCAAATATTATAGTTATAAACAGCCGCCAAAGATTGAGATGTAGAGGTTCGTCAGTAGTTGCGCATTTTTTTAATGTTGTATTTGGCTGTTTCAGAAGGAGAAATTCAAAGCCAAATTCAGAAGGAGAAAGGTGGTGATCGCGTTCCAAGAACCACATCAGAAGGACATTGACCAGTAGTTGCGCAAATGTTTTTTTAATTTAAGGGCTCACCATAGTCCGTGCTACATGGGACATTTTGGTCAGAGTAGCTGAATCTAAAACAGCAGCAGCATGTTGAATCCTGGCCCAGATAACTGGGTGAGTTTATTAATATTAAAGTAAAGTTGAGGTGCACAGTCACGGGGTTTTTGGGGGGTGGGGGGTGGGGAGGGGTCTGACGTCAACCCCGCACCTTTCCCCAATTTAATAGTTAAAATATAATCTATGTTGATCAATAATGGCCACCAATGAGACATTATAGTCCATCTGGTGACCGAGTGGAATTTGAAAGAAGTAAGCGTTCATAAACTACTGAAAGATTCAACACTAAAGAGAAGTACTTGTCATTACACACAACATCTAAGTCCTCGAGTCACGCCAAATATAATTGCCTTCATTTGCCTAGCATTCTTCATTCAAAATTGTAAAATAAAATAAGCTATTTCAGATACTTTTTAACATGCTGAAATTGCACCCGTTAATCCAAACTTGTGATAAATATTTAAAGGCTTTAACATACACAACTGTAGCGTCAGAAAATGTATATATATATATATAACTATCTTTTGAATGAACACCGGTGAATATATAAATCTAATTATGAAGTACTATTAATGCACCTGTAAACCAGGAGCCAGATTCACGAAAGCACTTACGAATCTGTACATCTTTTCTCAATCTTTGGCGGCTTTGTTTACAATTATTAAACAGTTAATGAGCTCCGAAGCACCAGGAGGCTGTTTATAACAATAACAACAGTTGAATGTGAAGTTTTCATGCTTGCAAACTGTTTAATAAGTGTAACCAAAGCCGTCAAAGATTGAGGAAAGATGTACACGTTCGTAAGTGCTTGCGTAAGTGCTTTCGTGAATCTGGCCCAAACATCAAAATCTTAAGCTATAACCATTTATCAGTCTCGCCTTTTTCTTTTTTTAATTTATCTACGCACATACTAGCCAAAGTAAACGCAGAATGTCCAGCAAAAAAGGAGACCACCTACCCAGTTCCTGGGCACTGAGAGGTGCCCCTGTTGACGTGGGCAGCAGCGTCAGCAACCCCACCAGTAGCATCGCCCCCCGCCACCACCGACGTCCTCCCATCCTGGCAGACTGTCCAACACTGAAGGGTCACTCGCCCTTCACCCCCAATGCTCAACTGACCGTTGTTGTTGGTGAATCCTGCATTAGTCAAATGACGATAATAAATATATAATTAATGAATAAAATATAGAATTATTTAATAAAATGTATAATTAACTGAATATATCATTACAGTATGTTTATCCCTGATTAATTGAGGATGAGTAATATTAAATTATGTAAATTTATTTGCTTAAAAATTAATTCAAGCAGGTTTATAACATCCAACTCACACTTACTTAATTTTTTGTATTTAAGAGAAGCGTAAATATATCTTGAGCAAAAAGTTGAAAAAATATTGTTTGATGTTGACCTTGACCAATGGTTGGCAACTTAGGGTCCGCAGAGGAAGTACTGAAGATCCACAAGCTAAACCAATCAGTTCAAGAGGCTTTTGCGTAGAATGTATAATTATATACAGTACTATAAGGCTGCTAGATAAAACTTTTATATGTTCATGTTTTCTTACGCTTGACTGTAATGTTATCAGCTCTGTATGGTAGCATTATCACAAGCTCTGATTGGCTGTTTATGACATCATAGGGAAATCTAGGATGTGATTGGTGGGCCAATACTGTCAACTATGAACGATAGTTTGTGACTAGTTATGGTGGCATATATATATATATCTGGTATTTTTACATATTTGAATGGCCTAAATTTGAGCATAGAAGGGAGAGGTGTAATCGTTATCAAAGTTAAAGTGGAAGCCATGATTATAAAACCGGACTTGTGGTCCGAACACCAGCAGGTCAGTGTGTTCAATCGTTCCCGACACTGACTTTCTTCCAGCGTCTGATGTTGATCTCTCAGAGTAAATGGAAAATTCCTTTCATTCAGTACTTGTAAGGTTTGGAGTGCAGTTTTAGGGATTATTTTCCTCTTTCTGGTGTCAGTAGCAAGTAGATCAGTGAATCATATAAAAGACATTAGTGATTTAACGGCAAATAATGAAAATATTGTCGTTGAACTTTGATATGACACTTCATTGATGAGTAAAACTACTTGACATGAAACCTGGCATAAGGAACATAGTGTCAACACGACAGCATCAACCAACTTATTATTAAACAAGTGAGTTTATTTTATTAGTTATTTATTTAATTACATAATCATTTATTTACATATGTCTTTTAACTGAGAGACGAAACCGAGAAAACGAGTTTGTTGTTGTCGAGTAGACAGACCTTTCATAATCAGGGGGGACTATGGGATAATTATTTTCGATACAAGGTATTGGTAGTGAACAGGTTGAGAACGATTGACCTATTGTACACTGACATTATATATACTTGAGCAGCAGGCGTTCCTTTATGTATATTTGGTTAAATATGACCGCATTGTTGATCTTATAAGCTTTCTATGCTTCTATTATTTTCTTACTTTCGGGAGTAAGATGAACAATCAAGTTACCGAAATTCATGGTAAAGGAACTATAGTGATTATTGAAGGGTATATTTTCTACAACGTTTCGTTCCACTCTAGAACTTTTTCATGTAAGGAATGAATACACAAGACTGATTGATGAAGATTAAGCCACCCAAGAGGTGGCACGGGCGTGAGTAGCCCTAAGTGGTAGATTTTTGGGAGTGAATGTGGTCGTGAAAGGATATACTGTGTGCTGAGCTCGCATTTAAATCGTCAACCTATGTGGCTACTATCGCGGGAGGATACTACTTGACAGTAATTATGAGGGTGTCCATCTGTTGGACACCTTTTTTGACCAGGAGAGTGGCAGTGTTGATGGCTTCAGGGTGGTTACTGCAAGATTCAGGGACTCTTTAAAGCTCTTCTAAGGTCGTTGGTTGCTTCACATTCCAGAAGATAGTGAAGTAGTGGCTTTTTTTTCTGTTTGGCAGAAGATGTATTCCCACTCTCTAGGCTCACTAATCTCCCAGTTGCATCTGTAACCTAGACGTAGTCCATATAACCGAACTGCTATTTCCCTGTGGATTACTTTGGGGATATTTAAGCTATCTAACTTGGTGGCCTGAAGATACTATATTGCAGAGGGCGAACCTTCTGCTACTCGCTGGTGTAGATGGGCTTTGTTGAGGTGTGAGAGTTATTTCGTGATGGTGATTTTTATGTACTTTAGGCTGGGCTGAATTCTTTTGTGGATGACTGATGAAGAGTTGCCAATTTAGCAGTTTCATCGGTTTTCTTATTTAATGGGATTCCAACATGGGATGGGATCCAGTTTAGGGTGATGTTGAGTCCTTTGCCTTTAGCTATTGCTCATCTTGAGGTTATCTTGAGATGATTTCGGGGCTTTAGTGTCCCCGCGGCCCGGTCCTCGACCAGGCCTCCACCCCCAGGAAGCAGCCAGTGACAGCTGACTAACACCCAGGTACCTATTTTAGTGCTAGGTAACAGGGGCATAGGGTGAAAGAAACTCTGCCCATTGTTTCTCGCCGGCGCCTGGGATCGAACCCAGGACCACAGGATCACAAATCCAGCGTGCTGTCCGCTCGGCCGACCGGCTCTCCCTCATGGATACAAAATTCTGGTAATTATTTCCACGTTGTCGTTCTGTGAGTTTGTTTGTTTGTTTTTTGTCTTGATATTTGAAGTGCAGCTTTTGAGTATTCAGTATTATTGCATTTTGAGTGTTTAGTAAATAGTGGAAATTCCTTTACAAAACAGGCAAATGCCTGTTTTGTAGCAGGGGTTCACATATACGAATGCCTATTGTGTGGCAAACAGCTCAGTTTGGATTGATGATACTGGTCCTCCCAGTCTCCAATATACCTGTAGCGAGTAGATTATCCCAATAATATACTCGCTCCAAATGCTTTGTTAATATTCCTGTCAACCTTTGGAGATGAATGAGGTGAGGCGTTGCCCGGGCAACACGGTGAGGCGTTGCCCGAGCATATAAGCAGCAGGATAGCAAACATTAACCAGTCAACTTTCAAGTGTGGTCTAGAGCAGACACTTGCGAGATACTGTACCGACGCTCAGTGCGCTCAACTCACACCAACGTATCACCTGTGTACTTCTGTATATTCGACCAAATATATATATAGTATCTTAGTGTCTGTGTTTATTTGTCACCATACTTTACGTAACAATAGAACCGTTACATACCTGATCGCTTCAAAGAGCAGCACCATCATATTCTGTGTCCACCGATCCGTCTGTGAAGATGTGGGTGCAATGCTGCTCATTTGCTTTTCTATAATGCGAATACACAAGGTTGACTGACGAAGATTAAGCCACCTAAGTGGTGGCACGGGCATGAATAGCCCGTCAATACACAAGCTTGTTGTTGTTTTAGATTTAGCTACTCAGAACGAAATGTTCATGTAGCACGGGCTATGGTGAGCCCGTAACCGAACACGGGGTGAAATGTTTGTCTTATATACACATGAGGAAGAGGTTAAATGGTGTGGGTTAAGGTGAAGTAATCAAACATAAGAGAAGAAATAGGGGAATAATGGGGAGGGAGCCAATCAAACACTAGGTAAGGTGGTGGGTAGGGGAGAAGGCGGTTGAAATTGAAATAAGTTTATTGAGGTAAAATACACACAAAGGGATGAGGTAGCTCAAGCTATTCTCACCCCGTTCAGTACATCGTGTTAATATATACATAGACACACATCACAAACAATAAACATATTACCGAACATTCTGAGAGGTAAACATATACATTTCCTCCTTCACAAGGAGTATGTTATCAGACGTACACACAAATACTTTTATGACCTAGGTATACTGTATAGACAGCGGTTGAAATGTCTGCGTTATACGGTGCTGTAAGGTGACAGCTGGATTTGGTCGTAGGCAAGGTATCGAAGTCGTTACTCGGTATATATATATATATATATATATATATATATATATATATATATATATATATATATATATATATTTAAGGCACAACTCTCCTAAACACGAGAGTGAAGTATACAACTTTAGAACACTTTCCCACCAGGAGACTCGAACCCTAGCCAGCACAGAAGCCTTCCAGCAACTGGCATAACAGGTACGCCTTAACCCGCCTTAACCCCGCATTAAGGTACGCCTTAACAGTTGCTGGAAGGCTTCTGTGCTGGCTAGGGTTCGAGTCTCCTGGTGGGAAAGTGTTCTAAAGTTGTATATATATATATATATATATATATATATATATATATATATATATATATATATATATATATATATATATGTATGTATGTATGTATGTATAATATATGCGAACAAGCCTGAATGGTCCCCAGGACTATATGCGACTGAAAACTCACACCCCAGGTAGTGACTCGAATCCATACTCCCAGGAGCAACGCAACTGGTATCTACAGGACGCCTTAATCCGCTTGACCATCACGACCGGACATAAGGAAGTGAAAGCTTCAGCTATCACTTCCTTATGTCCGGTCCCAGTTGATACCAGTTGCGTTGCTCCTGGGAGTATGGGTTCGAGTCACTTCTGGGGGTGTGAGTTTTCAGTCATATATATATATAATTATATGACTGATAACTCACAATAGATTTTTTTGGAGGGGAGGGGTCTTTTCTGAGTAGAGCTTCCAGGATTTGCAGTCAACCTCTGGTCAGTGGTGGAGGCCAAGGAGTGCTGTATTATCTACTAGCTTGTTCCTAGTGAGTGCTGTGTTATGTACCCTTTGGATGGGGTTTCTCGGGGCACCAGCTTGTAATTGGCAGGTCAAGCTTCACGAAATCTTTGTGGTGGTCGCACCAATGTAATTAGATCAAAGGTGACAGCCTTCACTGGGGCGTGTAAACTGGGATATATCTTGAGGTTATCTTGAGATGATTTCGGGGCTTTAGTGTCCCCGCGGCCCGGTCCTCGACCAGGCCTCCACCCCCAGGAAGCAGCCCGTGACAGCTGACTAACTCCAAGGTACCTATTTACTGCTAGGTAACAGGGGCATTCAGGGTGAAAGAAACTTTGCCCATTTGTTTCTGCATCGTGCGGGAATCGAACCCGCGCCACAGAATCACGAGTCCTGCGCGCTATCCACCAAGCTACGAGGATACCATGTTTGAGTTTAACAAAGGGTTGTATTGTTTATCGGAGCTGTTCTTAAGTATTAAATTAGCTGCTGATTTAATAATTAAGAACAACCCCAATAAACATTGAACCTTCTCATCGCCTTGTCCCGCCTCTCCCATAACCACCCCCTTCCTCTTCCCTTGACTTACATCTTTGCTATATATTATCTTCACTGTATATACAATTATCATCACCATAGCCGTCTTCACTACTCGCTATCTTCCCTACCATTACTTTAATCCGAATGAATTCAGTTCATCGTTTTCGAGTAAATCCAGAAAATGCGCAGAGTAAATGTCAGAAGTAACTTCGAAATCTCCGGAAAAAACATCCGAGAGGGTTAAAGGCTGATATTTCTTGAAGTATTTAAAAATTAGGCTGGACTTTATCGGCCGAAGTAATGCCATGCATTACCGCGATACACACATTACGAAACTGGAGAAAGTTCAGAGGTATTCCATCAGACTTGTCCCAGCGTTGAGAGGTACGAGTTACGAGGAAAGACTCAAGGAATTAAATTCTAGGTCTCAGGAAGGGAGAAAAATCAACGACACTTATCTTGAGGTTATCTTGAAATGATTTCGGGGCTTTTTAGTGTCCCCGCGGCCCGGTCCTCGACCAGGCCGGCCTCCACCCCCAGGAAGCAGCCCGTGACAGCTGACTAACACCCAGGTATCTATTTTACTGCTAGGTAACAGGGGCATAGGATGAAAGAAACTCTGCCCATTGTTTCTCGCCGGCGCCTGGGATCGAACCCAGGACCACAGGATCACAAGTCCAGCGTGCTGTCCACTCGGCCGACCGGTACTTGATAATGCCTATTTCCTCCGAGGAAACAGGCGAGGCAGACAAGGACAGGCTAGTTAGCACGGATAGTACACGAACAAGGGAACACGGAAGGAAATTTAGTACCTGAATGAACCACAGACACACTAAAAGGACTTTCATAAGTCCTTTTATAAGTGAACAAATGGAATAAGTTAAGAATCGAAGTGGCGGTGACAGACTTTATACCCGCCAAACACACACCGAAACTACGACGTTGGTACAACGTTCGAACAAGTTTTAACACCTAACCAGTTATAACAACCAATATATCTAGTTGTCACAACGTTCTAATACGTCATAGACACGTTAAGCCAAGATGTAACAACTTTATTACAAGTTGTAACAAGCGGAAAATAAAGGCAGTTACGGTTTGTGTTTCCAGGGTACACAGTTTCAAATACAGATACAATATAGAGCTCAGTTTCTCTTGGAAGCCTGTACACCAGTCGATTTAAGACTGAATTAGAGGAATCAAACCCTAGCCAGTACAACTAGGTGGGATGAGAGGGGTAAGCTTTTAGCCTTAAACCTCCGGGGTCAGAAGCACTTCAACCTTTCCTTATCCCATGTAAGTGTAAATATTGTCAAAGGCAAATTATACACAATAGACAGGAAAATATAAAATTCAGTAAATATAACAAACTAAAGTGCGAAAGAAATCCCATAATAATAATAAAAATCTATATAATAATAACAACATGTTGTTATTAATAACAATAATAACAATAGACAATGACGAAAAAGGAACAAGAAAGAAGAAACAAACTGATAAGGACAGGATATGTATAGAGGCTAATTATTGCTTATCTTCCCCTTGTGTACTGTCTACCGTTCTCTGTTATACTAATAAGCCTACTGATAAGCCTAACAGCAGTCATTACGTGGACTCGCCATCTTCTTAAGAAGTGGCCAAGTTATACCCTTACCTGGTTGATACCTGGTTGATGGGGTTCTGGGAGTTCTTCTACTCCCCAAGCCCGGCCCGAGGCCAGGCTCGACTTGTGAGAGTTTGGTCCACCAGGCTGTTGCTTGGAGCGGCCCGCAGGCCCACATACCCACCACAGCCCGGTTGGTCCGGCACTCCTTGGAGGAATAAATCTAGTTTCCTCTTGAAAATGTCCACGGTTGTTCCGGCAATATTTCTTATGCTTGCTGGGAGGACGTTGAACAACCGCGGACCTCTGATGTTTATACAGTGTTCTCTGATTGTGCCTATGGCACCTCTGCTCTTCATTGGTTCTATTCTTAGAGGTGTTCACCTTAGTTCTGGAGGTGTAATAAACAGTGATGCTATATTAACATTTGTTAAGTTCGTACTGCCTGAGAATGAAATGATTTACTTGCCTATGACTGCTACATAGCAACTATAATATTAACAACTGTGCGTATAGGTATTTGAGACCTGCTCTGTTAACTTGATGGCAAGTTTGCTTAACTTAGCGAATATGGGTTCAGTGATGGGCCTTGTGTATGGGTCGACTCTGTAACGCTAACACCACTCCGCACAGGATGGGTACAGAGGACTTCTGTAACCCTTCCACCGCTCAATCCTCACAGGATGAGTACAGAGGACTTCTGTAACCCTTCCACCGCTCAATCCTCACAGGATGGGTACAGAGGACTTCTGTAACCCTTCCACCGCTCAATCCTCACAGGATGAGTACAGAGGACTTCTGTAACCCTTCCACCGCTCAATCCTCACAGGATGGGTACAGAGGACTTCTGTAACCCTTCCACCGCTCAATCCTCACACGATGGGTACAGAGGACTTCTGTAACCCTTCCACCGCTCAATCCTCACAGGATGGGTACAGAGGACTTCTGTAACCCTTCCACCGCTCAATCCTCACAGGATGGGTACAGAGGACTTCTGTAACCCTTCCACCGCTCAATCCTCACACGATGGGTACAGAGGACTTCTGTAACCCTTCCACCGCTCAATCCTCACAGGATGGGTACAGAGGACTTCTGTAACCCTTCCACCGCTCAATCCTCACAGGATGGGTACAGAGGACTTCTGTAACCCTTCCACCGCTCAAACCTCACAGGATGGGTACAGAGGACTTCTGTAACCCTTCCACCGCTCAATCCTCACAGGATGAGTACAGAGGACTTCTGTAACCCTTCCACCGCTCAATCCTCACACGATGGGTACAGAGGACTTCTGTAACCCTTCCACCGCTCAATACTCACAGGATGGGTACAGAGGACTTCTGTAACCCTTCCACCGCTCAATCCTCACAGGATGGGTACAGAGGACTTCTGTAACCTCTCCACCACTCCTCACAGGATGGGTATGGTGCACTTGGGAAGCTCTCCACCGCCTCTCACAAC